ATTACTATAGGTACATCGTCCTCAAATGTTGTAATATCCCGAGTTAATGATGTTGGTATGTTTATAAAAGTGGATCGCAACTTAACTGATAATGAAAAACATATAGTAAGTTATTAATTTATTTTATGATTTTTATGTTATTATATTAAATTGTATATTGTAAATTTTATTACTGTCCATTTTCTATAGGTTCTCACAAATGCATGGATTCCGCCTGTTTCTTACTCGTTTCCTATATTAGAACCTAATAAAGAACGAAAATTAAAGTTTCAACACCACTGGTTAACTACATATAGCTGGTTACTGTATTCCGAAATAAAATCTGGTGTATTTTGTCGACTTTGCGTGGTTTTTGCTCAATGTGGTGGTGTAGGAAATCAAAAACTAGGTATTTTGTCCTCTGAGCCATTTAACAATTGGAAAAAGGCTAAAGAAGTAATTTTATTAATTATTTTAAATTTAATTTTAATATTACAAACATAATTCATAATAATATAATGTATTTATACATATTATTATATTTAATTTTTTATAAAAGGTATTTAATAAACATTCATCGTTGGAATACCATAAAACTCCTGCTTTGAAAGCTGATAGTTTTTTAAGTGTTTTTTCTAAAAAACAAAAATCAATTGTTGATGCTTTGGATGATGATAGGTAAAATATATCTAAGTACATTAATAACATATTATAATTATATGTAAATATAATAGGTAACAGATATCATTATTATTTATTTTACAGGTCAAAACAGATAATTAATAATAGAAAAAGGCTTTTACCAATCGTAGAATGCATAATTTTATGTGGCAAACAAGAAATTGCTCTACGGGGACATAGGGATTTTGGCCCAATTGACTTTACATGTAAATTGATGATTTTATATTTTTTAAATGATTTSTTTATTCATTTATTTTTATTTTTTTAATATAAATTATATAGCAGCGTCAGCTAAAAATGAAGGTAATTTCCGAGAAATTTTAAAATATAAAGTAAAAGACGACGATTCTAATACGATCATTTCTTGAATCAGATTCACGTAATAAATATTTAAGCCCTAGGATACAAAATGAAATAATAGCTATATGTGGTGATATATTATTAAAGAAAATTGTTGAAAAAGTCTATGCATCCAAATGTTTCTCAGTCTTGGCTGATGAAACAACAGACATTTCAGTTACAGAACAACTAACAATATGTGTAAGATACTTAAGTGAAACGGGGAATGATGTACAAATCAATGAAGATTTTATCAAGTTTGTTGAGATTCATAGTTTAACAGGAGTTGATTTAGCATCTGCAATTCTAAATGGTAATTTAAAATAAACATTATTATTTTAAATAATAGTTATTAAATAAGTTTTTTTCAGGTCTCAATGTTAGTGGTATTAACTGTGATTTTTTGTATGGCCAAGGGTATGATGGTACTGCAAATATGTCCGGGCAATTTAAAGGAGTAAAATCTATTATACAGCCAAAGTATCCTAAGGCATTGTACGTGCACTGTGTTGCCCATTCCTTAAACTTAGCAGTATCCTCTGAGTGTGATTTACAACCAATTCGAAATTGCCTTGGGGTCATTGAAAAATTGTATTGTTTTTTTAATACACCTAAACGCAAAAATGCACTTTTTGAAGCTATTAGTAATAGTGATTTGATACCAAGCATAAAATCATTAAAACGATTATGTGCAACTAGATGGATTCAAAGGTATGATGCCGTTAATGATTTTGTTCAGTTATTTCCATACGTTGTAGTTTCATTAGAAACTATATCAAGTTGGAAAGATGTAACTGCAGTTAAAGCCAATATGTTAAGAAATGCAATGGACTCAGAATTTCTTATATCAGTACAAATTATAAAGGTACCTAATTCAATATATTAAATCATGTAGTTGAGTTAAAAATAAAATGTTTATTTGTTTTTTAATAGGTTTTATTTTCATATGGGCTGCCATTGTACAAACAACTACAAAGCAAAGASATTGATTTAAAAGAAATGGTTGGTTTAGCAGAAGATAATGTTAATGCTCTTAAACAACTAAGAACTAATATTGAACCTGAATTTAAAAAAATATTTAATGAGGCTCAAGTAACTAACAATTAACATTAATGAATAATGATTAATATATAATATTATGCTTGTACAATATTTTAATTAATTAAAATCATTAGTTTGCTTCTTAATATCATATTTATAAATACAGTTAAGAGTATTTAAATTTTTTCTTTTAATTCAGAAAATGGCTGAAGTTCTAGATTTTCAAATTGTAGTAAAAAGAATAAACAAAAGGCAAATAAACCGTGCTAATCCATCATTATCATCCGAAGAACCAGAAGATTATTTTAGAGTTACTATTTGTATTCCTTATATTGATTCATTCATAAATCAACTAGAGCTCAAATTCTTAGAGCACCATAATATTTTTAAAGGTTAGTTCCTAATAACATAAATTTATAAATTTATATTAATATATTATTTATAAAACCTACGTTATTTAGGTTTTCATTGTTTATTTGACAACAACGAAGATTCTAATGAAGCTGATTTTAAATCTCTTGTTTCATTCAACTTATCTCATAATGATTTGTCTACCATTCTTGGTGAACTTAAAATGTGGAAGTTAAAACTTGCCCGTCTAAATGTTAAACCATCTAATGGAATTGATGCATTAAAACTTTGTAGTCCCATGATCTTCCCAAATATCCATATGTTATTAAAAATTCTATGGTCACACTGCCGGTATCAACAGCTACTCCAGAAAGAATGTTTTCAAATTTAAAAAGAGTAAAATCTTATTTGAGAAATACAATGAAAGAGGTAAACAGTTTTTATCATACATATTTTTAATCCTTATTTATTACATTTTATACTGAAAAATAATTATTTACACAGGACAGATTAGATGGATTGACCATGTTGTCGGTATACCGTAATATAAATTTAACTCCTGAAGAAGTCATTGATGAWTTGGGACAAAAACCCAGGAAAATAGACATTGTTTTATAATGAAAATAAATATTAGTTAAACAACATATTATTTTGATTT